CTCTCTCTCTCTGTGCCTCTCTGTCTCTGGTTTTCTAGCTGTACGACTCTGTTATCCCTTTCTTTGACATAACGAATTTACTCTTTTTTTTGCTGTGTTATGCTTCATTTTTGGACAGTTGTGCCTCACATAGGACTGTAATGGAAGTACCACACGATGACTTTTTCTACCAAGCTCTGGACGTGATTGTGGTGAGATTCATCTTGGTCTGGCCGTAATTGCGGTCACATTCATTTGGCAAAGTGCTTGTGTGAGTATGCCCCAAGTGTTGCAAAAAGAATGGCAGGAACATCCAGCTGCTGGCGTGTGCCACTGCAATTTCGCGCCATTTTTCGTGCTTCAACCGAAGGACTGGGGGGTACAAGAAGTGGTACTGAAGGCAACGTTCCAAAAATAGCCTGCAAGTCTGACAAGTCGGGATGGCAGAGGTGGTCTCCAAGACTTACTTGCCCAGATGGACACGTCGGGGGGGGCAGACATGGGATCTCCCAATGGGTGGGATCCGTTGATGGTGTGAGTATCGGTAGTCGCACGTGGCAGCAGTGTAAGCATCGCCGGAGTAGTCGGCTTCAGCATAGTCACACGTGGCAGCAGCAGCGTAAGAAGCATCGACGGAGTCATGGGCTTCAGCAGTGTCGAGGACATGAGGGCTGGGCGCTTCAGCAGACACGGAACGACTTTCTCTGTCCGCAGGTATCTGGCCAATCGGAAGACCAGGTGCGTCGTCAGCACCCAAGTCATCATCAGCAGTGGCCACCACTGGTGGTTTCAAGTCAGATCCCGACCGCAGGTATGGAGAAAGGGATCCCGACCGCAGGTATGGAGAAAGGGATCCCGACCGCAGGGATGGAGAAAGGGATCTCGACCCCAGGGATGGAGAAAGGGATCTCGACCGCAGGTATGGAGTCTGCTAAGCAGAGCAAACAGTCAGGAGAACGTCAATTGCCGCAGGTGACGTCAGAAGGGTCCGAGGTGCCACGTCAGCATTTACGCCCACCAAGCAGGCGGCCAATCCGCTACACACCTCGGCCACTTCGCCAGCAGCTGCTGGAAACTTCACAGAGGTTTCCTCAGTACAATGACGACGATGATGATTGGCAGCAGCAGCAGCAGGATGGTCGCAGAGCTCGGATCGTCTATAAACCCATCAATAAGCAGAGGCTGCGCCATCTTCGACATCAGAAGCAGATGGAAGAGGTCCTGATGAATCAGCGTCTTCTTGAGCAGCGGTTTCAGCAGCGCCAACAACAGCAGCATCGGAATGCAAGCGAGACAATGGACCAGGAGGAGGAGGAGGAGGAGGAGGAGGAGGAGGAGGAGGAGGAGGAGGTAATTGAAGAAGGAGGTCCCGACAGTGGTCGTGGCATTGCAGTGACTGGCAGTCAGATGCACGTGGGACCAAGAACGTATGTGTCCTTCTCGGGTTCCAATTCGGCGAGGGCACAGGATGGAGAAAGGAATCTAGACGGAGAGGGAGGTCAGATACGGAAAGATGGGGAAAGAAATCTGGAAGAGTGGGAAGGTAAGAGACGCGTGGAGGGCAGAGAGCAAGTCAGGACTGGTTCCTTAGGATCCATTGGACGTGGGGAAACAGGGTTGCAGAATGTGGATCGTGTTTTGCAAGTCATCCGAGGCATGGAGAACCCCGCCGTCGAGGAGATATCTGAAGCTATGGCGACATGGCAGGGCGTGCTTCGCCTTCGAGAGCTGGAGCTTGTCTTAAAGAGTCTGCGTGGATGGAAAGCGGTTGCTGGTTTCTTTGCATGGATGTCCGTACAACGGTGCTTCAGGCCAAAAGCACAACTGTTTAATTACGTGATTAAGGCGGCTTTGCAGTCGCGTAAGTGGCGTGCTGCTGATGACCTGCTGACCAAGATGGAGAGTCTCGGAGTGTCACGAGACGCTCACACCTGTGCTATCTTGATAAAGGGATATGCAGAGGCTGGACTTTGTGAAGAAGCAGTTCGATTGTTCCACGACATGAGGACACGCGGCGATCCTGCTGATGTTGTTGTTTATGCCATTGCCATCGACGTCCTTGGCAGATTGAAGAAGATGGATGAAGCAGAAGACACTCTTCTGGATATGGTCAGAAGAGGAATCCAACCAGATACCGTGGTCTTCAACACCATGATTGCTGGTTATAAGAGAGCTGGTAACTTGGAGGGTGCAAAAAGGATCTTTGATGGGATGGTGATGCGTGAGGATGCTGCTTCTGCCTTGCCTTCTTCTCCTCCTCCTCCTCCTCCTCCTCCTCCTCTTCCTCTTCCTCCTGCTACTGCTACTGCTGCTGCTGTTGCTGCTGCCACTGCTGCTGCTGTTGCTGCTAACGGTGCTGCAACTGTTCGTCCTAGTGATCCTACTACCGGTCCTTCTGCTGGTCCTCCTGCTGGTCCACCCGCTGGTCCTACTACTGCGGGTCATAATGCTGTTGGTCCTGCTGGTCCTGCTTCTGCTGCTGCTGCTAATACTGCCGGTCCTGCTGCTGGTCCTCTGGATGGTCCTAGTGCTGGTCCCGCTGCGGCTGGTCGTCGTGCTGCTGGTCCTGCTGCTGGTCTCACTGCGGCTGGCCGTCAGGCTGTTGGCCTTGCGGCTGGTTCTCGTGGTGGTCCTACTGCGGCTGGTCGTCGGGCTGCTGGTCCTGCTGGTCCTGGTTCTCTGGCGGCTGCTGCTGCTGCTGTTGCTGCTGTGCCTGCTGTGGCTGCTGATGTGTTCACTTATACTACGATGATTGGTGCCTACGTGGATGCGGAGATGTGGGCCGATGCCATAGACACGTATGAGGCAATGAAAAGTGCAGGTCTTAGTGCGGACAGGGTGACGTGTAATGTCATGATTGCAGCTTATGGTCGCATGGGACGTGTTTCTGATGCCCTCACCCTCTTCTACCAGATGCGAAGAGAAGGTCCCCTCCCCGACGTTGCAACGTTTAACACCGTTATGGCAGTGTTCGGCTCTGCGGGGAAGGTGACCGAGGCTTGGCGCCTCTTCTGCCGCATGCGGAACTCTGGCTGTGTGCCCACCATCGAGTCTTATAATGTAATGATTTCTATCTTCGAGAACCGTCGACAGCCGCTGCGGGCTGTCAAACTGTTCAATGAGCTGTGCAGCTTGAATTATCGTCCTACTGCGATAACCTACGCATCGATGGTGCGAGTTTACGCGCGCTTGCGCAGAACGAGCAATGCTGTGAATTTGTGGAATGAGATGAGAGCTGAGGGGCACGCTGTGGACTCGAAAACACTGCTAACGATGATTCGACTTTTTGAGCGTATGGGAATGTATGGACACGTGGCACGGCTAGAAGAAGAGATGCTGGCATCAAAATATGAGACAAGGGAAATCAACCCGTGGAGGGCGTTATCTGCATTTGGAGCTGCAGGACGGATAGACAAAGCAGAGCGAATGCTGAATGCCCTGGAGGAGGAGGAGGAGGATGGGGAGGAGGAGGAGGAGGAAAAGGAGGAGGAGGAGGAGGAGGCGGAAAAGGAGGAGGAGAATCACGCCACCAAAGTACTTTTTCCATCCCATTGCAGTCGCAATGTGGATAATAATAATAATAATAATAATAATAATAATAATAATAATAATAGAAATAATAAGATACTTGCAGTTGAAGGGGGATCTGAGCTGTTGGATCTGACGGCAGCGTACGAGAATCTGCTTAGAATGTATGGTCGTGCAGGGCTTTACCACAATGCGCTGCACATATACAGGAGGATGAAGTACATGTATCTGAAAGTGAGTGAAGAGGTAGAGAATTTGACACTTAGACACTATTGGAAGGTAGGACAGCTTGACGAAGCCGAGAGAACTTTCCGTACCCTGCAGGCTGAACAGCCGGTGAGAAAGCCGTTGAAATCGACAATTACAAGACCGATGTCGAGGAGAGGAGGAGGAGGAGGAGGACATTGTGATAACAGTCGCGATGAGGGAAACGGGAGGTGGATAAACTCCAACTTGGCACTGGAGATGAGTGAAGCATGGAGAAAACCACCTCCCAAAAGTAGTTATTTCACAATGGTTGAGCTGTATGAGAAAGCAGGCAGGCTATCTGATGCTGCCGCTCTGTATAAGGAAATGCTTGATGTTTATGCGGACTGGTAGTTTTGATTTGAGCGCAACTGAGAGTATACCCACACTAGCACCTTCTTGCATGTATCTGACTGCAATCACGGCCAGTCCTGGATGTATCAGACCGTAATCACGTCCAGAGGTCAGTCAAAAAAGTCCTTGTGTGGTACGTCCTTACTTGCTGATTTCAGTGAGTACACAGTACTACCATCTTCAGGGATATAGAACGCCCGGTTATTATCGTTGTATCTAGACTGAAAGCTGCATCACATACGGCTATAATGACCAGGCGGTGCACAACTGACCTCGCTGATTTCAGCAGAGTACACAGTACGACAGTCTTCAGGGAAATAGAACGCACAGTTACTATCACTGTATCTAGACTGAAAGCTGCACTGAATACGGCTATAATGACCAGGCGGAGTGCATCTTACCTCGCTGATTTTAGTAGAGTACACAGTACTACCGTCTTCAGGGAAATAGAACACACGGTTATTGTCGCTGTATCTAGGCTGGAAAGCTGCACTGAATACGACTATAATGACCAGGTGGCGCGCAACTGACCTCAGTTATTTGCGGATAGTACTACCATCTTCAGGCAAATAGAGCGCCCGTACATTATCGCTGTGTATCTAGACTGAAAGCTGCACTGAATACGGCTATAATGACCAGGCGGTGTTCTGTTCGGGTGAAGACGTCAGTTCCGGTTTGTTGTTCGTTATATTTTCGAGCCTTTGAGGTCAATTGCACGGATAGGAAACTCGGGGCATACTCACAAAAGGGGGGCTTTCCAGGATGCATCTGACCGCAATTACGGCCACGTATTTTGGATGCATCTGTCCACAATTACGTCCACAGCTCATGCGAAGAAGTCATAGTGTGCACATGCTCTCAAATTACAATCACAGCTACCGGAGTGAGCCGGCACCACTTGCCTGCCCAGGCCTTCTTTTTTTTTTTTTTGAATTTGGTAAAGAATTTCGATGTGACCCTTGTTCAGTTTATTTTTCTGCATAACATAGTTTTTTTTCCGTTTTTTTTTTTTTGCTGAGATCTTCCTGGGGTCCTTGCACGGCCGGGCCGCCCGGGAAAACAAGGTGACCCGGGCAGCCTGGCTGGTTATCTAGATTACATTTATGTAGATTACAAGTGCGTTGACCTCTCATTTGCCCCCAACAGTAACATTGATTTCACGACAAAGCTTTGAACGCTTTATTGGACATGGATGAGATATAGAGTGGGCCTCGCTCCCACTGCACAGCACTCTCCATGCATTTGGACGCTTTCTGGTACCGATATGTTCAAAATGTTGAACTCATCCAAATGCACCTGTTCCCAGCAGGCATCCAAATGCATGTAGAGCGTTGTGTAGTGGGGTGAGGCCCAGGGGTTGGGGGTGGGGTTATCAGGGTCCGGCAGCGGGGGTCGGTGGTGGGTGTGCCTGGGGTCCCTCCCTCTCTCTTTCTCTCTCTCTCTCTCTCTCTCTCTCTCTCTCTCTCTCTCTCTCTCA